GATTATAAAGCTTCCTTTGTACACTTTCCTTCACTTCTCTTTTATTTGTTTTATTTTTACACGCTTTGCCTCCCCCGCCTGTGTCCCTCCCCTGCGAACAGCTTCTTCACGTTTCACAATAGTGTTATTCATTCTGCTTCTTATTGGAAGTCGTGGTTTCTCACACCAGGGAGACAGTGCTATGTTACACATGTGTCTCATTTATTTCACTTGAGCATGGTCTAAGGTGCATGCATTTACTTAGAAATATCTCAAGCTTTTCCTTGTTTGTGGGAGAATAAGTTTGCACTGTGTTAAAAAAAATCTTCCTTATAAATTCACCACTTAATAGGCATTTGGGCTGCTCCTAAAGTGTTTTGTTTTGTTTTCTTTCCCAGAACTGGGGATGTTCCTAAAGCTTAGCAATTACAAACTATAATGCTATAAATAAGCATGTTCCTATATTGCAGTGATGTGATGCTTTTAATGCTTTTGTGAAAAAATAAAACAGGGGAATAACTCTGTCAAGTGGAGCCTCTAGTCCTAGATTTTTTTAATTTCCACAGCGGTCGCCCCAGTCTGTTCTCGCACCAACAGTGCAGCAGGGTTTCTTTTTCCCACAGCCCCACCAACATTTGTTATTGGTTGATTTGTTGACCGTACTCATTCTTTTGGGGGTGAGACAGAATCTCAGTGCTGTTTTGATTTGCATCTCTTGAGTGATCAGTGATGTTAAACATTTTTCATATGTTTAGTTGCTGTTTATATTTCTTTAACCAAGAAGTAAGCATTCATCTCAAATGCTCATTTTGCACTGGGTGTTTACATTTGGGAAGTCTGATTTTTCTGAGTTCTTTGTACATTCTACATTATAATCTCTTGTCTGAGGAATAGCTGGCAAAAGCTTTCCTCCATGTTGTGGGTTTTCTTTCTACTCTACTCTGTTGGTGATTTCTCTTCCTGTGAAAAACCTTTTTAATAAGATGAAATCCCAGTAATTGGTTCCTTTTACATGTCCTTTGTGATTGGAGTTCGGCCCATAGAGTATTGCCGACCCCAGCGTCTGCAAGAGTTCTACCTTCTCGGCCTTCCAGCAGGCTTGAGCTTCTGTTTTCATATTCAGATCACTGACCTACCTCGACTTCCGTGCAAGAGATGAGAAGGGACAGAAAGCCGCACACGTGCTTGGCCACCTCACCTTTGACGAGAGAGCCCAACACGTTCACTGGAAGAGACGCAAGTGCTCTCTTCAATGTGTGAGAAAAAAGGGCTTTCCAGATGTCAAAAATTGAAATTGGACCCACTCATTCACGTCTCCTTCTTCACGTAAAAGCGATTTTACCCCTCTCTCTTCACATGGTGGCCAATACGTCTGATGGACTCATTGTTCCAGTGTTAAAAGTTGTAGAATAAGAACAACCTAGTTACATTCTCTAAATGAATAGAGTGATTTGTGCTAATGGTGTTTGTAAATAGGATCTCATGCCCACATCTTGTACAGTAAATAACCACTAGGATGAATGTATGCACTGTGTGAATTATTGAATCTGTCCTACTGATTTGATTTGTTTTTTT